CCGTGGAACACTAAGGTTCCCACCATTTCATGACTTAGTTTACATGTCAAACACCATCGAAGTCGGAGATGCACTCATGAGATAGTTTCTGTTGTTTACAGATGAGAAATGGAAGTGTCAAGTAGTAAGTGACTGATGCCCAAGCCATCTTTTCCGAAGAAACCATGTTACTTGGTAAGAATATAGTAAATGCTTTGGTAATTATCCTTTAGTAACTTTTTGCTTGCAAAGATGCTTCACGTCGTCATTCGAAGAGCAGACGTATCAAGTCTCTTGGTCAAAATCTGATTTTGAATGTTACTCGAATATTGCTGTGTGTTTCTTTATAGAAGACAATCTTAGAAGAAGCTAGGAGAATGTGAACACTGATGGAAAATGGTTTATGAAACTGGAATATGTTAGGTATTAATATCCCCATGCGCATGTGTGTTCTGCATGTTAGTTATTTTCTCACAGAAATGTGTCGTAGTGCTTACGCTTTAATGGTGCATTATCTCGTATTAGCAAACCTTCATCTTGTTCCGTGCTTATGTAACTAATCTGTTCCAATGTCTCAGGTGTACTATTTCCTTTGTTATCTATGGCGAAATCCCTCTTTACACTTGTACATTATATTTTGAGCAATACAGCCAGAGTATCAGACCATACTCTGCCATCTTTGGGAAATCAGGGAGTAACGAGGAAGCGTACATATTCTCGTCTACAAATTTGAATATTCTGATTTTCTAGTCTTGTCATTTATATGGAATGTATGGTTGATATCTATTAATATAATGTTTTTGCAAGGTTTGGTGTTGTTATACATAGAAAGGGCAGAAGCAGTGTTTTGCGAGAAAAATAGTGGTCAACATAGCAAGAACTAGGAGGAGGCTTTCGCTATATCCTTACACTTCAGTCACTTCTAGTGAACGTTCTGGAGAGTTTGCCGATGACCTTCGAGAAGAAATTGTGAGTGGCCTCGTTCACATTTTGTCTTTTGTAAGGACTAGTTTTATTTGGTACTCAATGTGTCGCTCAAATTGTTTCACAACTTGACTTCCATACGCAAGGAATATCTCCCAACACCATCTGAATGCGATGCCTGTGATGTGGTGAAGGTGCCTGGTTTGTTTGTTATTTAAGGATTGAACAAATTTCATCAAAGAGAAGTTTGCAGATACTTGAATTCACTGTTTTTGTTTCTTATCCAGATGGATGAGGTTGAACAAGAAGGAACTCTTTGAATGCTGTGTGGAGATTCTAACAAGGGTCTGCTCGAATTCTAGCAAGGTGGAGGTTCCTTAACTTCTTTCTCAACTCATTTCTCCGTGGACATTTTCTTTATGTTTTTTTTGTACTTTCAGATCTCTAGTTGCCGAGTTCCTGATGGAGTACAACTACCTCTGTTGTTAAGAGATCTATTGCCTCATGACATGGAAATATGTTTTCTTAGCATTACCCTTGTGGACAGTAAGAAAGGACCATTGTCTAAAATCTTTACGGGATGTTCTTTCTTGTGTCATTTTATTCTACTTAAGGTTCTGTTTTTTGATGGCGTTCTTAAGACACATGTAAAGAGCAAGCGTAACTGTCTCAACACATGTTTTTCCTGAACACCTAGGTTCCCACCATTTCATGACGAAGAATAACATTTTCTTGTTCAGATGAGATAACTCATGTTGTTTACAGATGAAAATTTTGGATTTTCCTTGCAGTCATTACTTGTAGGGATAATATATAGGTAAAGAAAACCTACACTGTGTGTACTATAAAACACGTCTTTTTATCTTAGGACTGAATACATTTAAGTATGCAGTTTCCCTGTTTCACCATTAGTGCTAATAGAATTCATATTTAATTTACTTTCTTGTTGTATGGCTCATGGAATTTCTGTTTTAATTTGTATAGAGAAGGTTTGTCCTAGCGAGACAAATTGGGCTTTCATTTCAGACATGGGATGGTCATGAGGCATTGTTCCAAGATATTTGGTAAGTTTGGTGTTTGTTTATTTAAAATTATTGTCATCCTATGC